CCCGCCGACGGTGCCTATTCCAGTGCATCTGTCCCTGGGAGGATGTTGTTTCTCTTCCCTGATCCAGGACGGAAGAACAATGATGGTTGATCAGGAAACTGGCACCTTCCGGTACCTGCCTGGCTCTGGTGGTAGCTGATGCTCCTCTAGGTTGAGGCACTTAATGTTTCAGTCGAGGGAAACTTCTTTTTCAAAGAAACCCAAACTTTGATCCCATCATCTGTATAACTGTACAGTCCTTGAGTCTGTTCTGCCTAGTGGTATCTGAGTAAACTGAGAAGAAAAGAACATTCTTGATGTGTGCATCTCTTTCCCCTCTAAAGCTTATAGAAATGTGCTGAAGGTTTGGGTAGAATTTCTTAACTTGACACATTTCTGCCTTTAGTCTTAAGGCCTTTTTTAAATTTTGAAATTGGTGTTTCCCAAGTCATTGCCAGTTGTTTTTCCTTTTACTATAGGTGGTTTCTTTTACCATGTTCTCTAGTTTGTACTTTGCCCAGAGTTGAAAAAAAAATAACCCTATGTTGGGTTACACAGATGAAGAGGGTTTCCATTCCTCTTTCTGTATGTTTTGCCTTGTTGTAGCCTTTTCCTGTAGTTTCCTTAGATTTCCACCTACAAGATGTCGTGCTGCTTTGTTTTGTTGTTTGAGAAGTCTCTGCACTTCAGTTAAACAGCTAAATCTTTGTGAAATATATCACTTGCATCATTCCATTTCTGTAAATGTTTATGGATTCCTACTCTGATTTTCTTGATTCTCTTCTGCTAACTTAATTCCTTCCAGTTTTTATCTTCAAAAGGCTGGGAGCTGTAATAAGATATGAAGTACTAAACCCTTTGTTGTTGTTTTGTGAGCCTACAGCAATCTCGGCCAAGGAAAAGGACATTTTGTTATCGCGAGTTCTTACCCATTAATCTTGCATGCTGTGTTTACAGGCCACGAAACCTTAACAGCCAGCGTCTTGGGTTAGCCCATTGTAAAGGCATATTAAATGCACATTATGTGGTGACCCTTGCAAACCTGATGAGTACAAATCAGATTGCCTTTCAAGCTTTATTAGTGCTTCTGTGCCGTTGACAGCAGCAACTAAGTAATGGGGTGGGGAGACAGAGACTTTTGTATGTAGGAGTAGTTTCTTATCCTACCAAATCATCCTGCCTTGCTGTTTTTCTGGAAGAGAAGAGTAACTCACAGCTTGGTGGGGCAGGGACTTGGGTCTGTTTCTGTGACTCACGTGAGTGCTGTAACCCAGTGAGCTGCTGGCTATTGTAGGGAGAAGGGAGCAGCAACAGAGATGTCATTGGAGATATTTAATCTTCTTTCTGGCTGCAACGGCAATATTACCCTGAAGCTAGGAAAGGTTTCATGACAAAAGCTTCATCAAAACCAATTTCAAAAGGTTTCAGGTTGGAGAAGCCTGGCTTTTACAAAGAGAGGGGATGCAGTCGAGAAAAAAATCAGCAAACTTAATACTATTTGGCATTTCATATTGTTCTAGGAGGTGTGTGTTTTAAGTCCATTGTTTCTGCCTTAAATTATAAGCAGGCCTTCTTTTAAATATATGGTTATTACCTGATTAATTTCTTATTGTGTTTTGACATGATACCACAGTTTATCAGAAGCACTTTTGTTCAGTCTAAGCTGCCTCTGGGATGGTGACCTATTTGCCTGTTTGTTTCATCTTCTCTCCTGCTGAGCTGTTTTTCTCCCAGAACTGGGCAAGCTGTGACATTTGATGGTAGCTGATGTTATCTCTTAGCCTTAAAAATGTGGTGATGTTTTTGTACTGTAAAAATGTTAAAAGATGTTGTTCTGCTAACCTTAGAGAGCAGAATGTGACTTAAAATCACAGCAGTGAACACGGGGTTATATGAAAAACTGCCCTGGCAGTTGTCCTGACTCAGCTGCTGCCTATTCATTGATCTGGCAGTGAGTCAAGCTGAAGTTCATTGGCTTTCCATTCCCAGCATAAATACTTCCTGATACTTGAACCACCTCTCAGTCAAGGTGATGGGAATTTTTCTAGTGACTTACGTGCCAGTTTGGATGTTTCTACAATGCTTTATTTAAGGATCTGTCACAGTGGTTGTACTAAAATGTCACCAGTTCCTCCCTCACTGTCTGCAATTCACTCAGCTATTCATTCTGTCACGGCTTCTGCATCTTGCACTATTTTGCCTTCTCTTATTTCACTGCACCTGCTTGCAGATTAAATTTTTCTTAAGATGTGTGTGCGTGTTGTGGAAACACAAAGTGTACTGAGCACATTGAATGTTGCAGTGTGTTAGCACTGGGTTACCGTGTAGGTCATGAACCCAAGCAAAAGGAAGATATGACATGCAACGTACTGGGTCTGCAATGCAAGCACGTAATAGGCTGGTATCACGAAATTTCATGATATTCCTAGAATTGTTCTTTAACTTAATGTGATTTGGTTTTATGTACTAAACAAAGCCCCAGCTATCTCAACTAGAACAAAAAGATTTAACAATTATGCTTATGTCTTAGGTTTAGTCATATGGCTTGGATTAGATTGTGGGTCTTGTGTATGTATATTAACGGTACTCTTTTATGCACGGGTGTTCAATAGCAAGATCAACTATTTTGAGATGTTGAGTTAATGAGATTAAATCACTGCTGAATGGATGATGCAGAGGTGGTGACATAATCCTGAAGTCAGAGAACTATGGTGGAACTAAGCCAGTATATTAATAACACATGAATTCTTAGCTTGGAGATGGTCCAAAAGCTCCGCATCCGGGCCTGTCCCGCCGACGGTGCCTATTCCAGTGCATCTGGAATAACATGTGAATTCTTTATCTACAACTGACTTTCCTGGAAATTATTTTTTAAAATACTGTAATTCTGGAATGCTGGACATGTTCTCGACATGTAGCTGACAGCAGAAAACAAGCTGAAAGGGCCCAGACAATAGTGTGTGTTTCTACAAGGAACTGTGATAGTAGCAGGCGTAAGAAAGAGGAGCTCTGTGGTTGCTGTTGTCTGAACTGTTAATGCAGGAAAAAAATGGCATTTTTGGAGCAGTAGCTATTTCTTCTGTCAGGTGTACTCAATGATTTATTAACCCATAAAGAGAACACGTTTTTAAAATAATAAATAATTAAAAGTGACTAAAAATGGTACATTTTGGCATAGGATTGCTCCTTATTGATGACACTTCCCATTTGTTCTGCTGGTAATGTTTATAAGCATCTTACACGCTTGATGTGAAATCTGAAAGTAGAGGTATGCTTTAAATCACATGGATGCTCACGAGTGGAGTGAAAGGAAGGTGCTAAAATGCCCTTAAATTAATTGATGCGACTCTTTCCTTGAACAAGGCATGCCACAGGGAGAGGGTTGGTCCTGTACGGGAACCCAGTTACTGGTTTTGCTGGTGCTTGGCCTCCCTTCGCCATAGCAGCACTGACTGCATTTCTGAGGGCTGTTCAGTATTAATATTTTGGATGCAGTAAACAACTGCAATGGCATGGACGAAGGGAGCAGGTCTGACTGCTGAACTGTTGCGTTCATGCTCTGTAAGCGAGGAGACATCTGCAACTTCAGAGCACCCAGTTTTTGTGGCTGGTCAGCACCACCGTAGTTTATGCTGTTGTAGAAGGTTGCTCTTAGTACTAGAGTTACAGTAACGTGTTCCTTTAACCTCAGCTCATCTGTGCCTCATCCATTTATGATTAAGTAATTAAGCCATATTTTGGAAAACAAGCAAAACTAAATGACTTTTCTTATCCATTGTTGAGGTCTTGACAGCGACACAGGTTTAATTCAGCCATAACTTCTGATTGTAGGGGGAAGAGTGAAAACGTGGAAACGGAGATGGTTTATTCTGACTGATAACTGCCTGTATTACTTTGAATACACAACAGTGAGTATATATTACAGCGAACTTGATTTGTAATCAAGATATTTAAGTGCCTAATAATGTGATATTTTCCTGATTTTTAGGACAAAGAACCTAGAGGAATTATTCCGTTAGAAAATCTTAGCATAAGAGAAGTTGAAGACCCTAGAAAACCAGTAAGATAATATTCTAAGACATTTTATTTTCATAATGTGTTTTTAAATAGATAAGTAAACCGTATAGGACTTGGATGTAGTGTTAAATGAAGATGTTTGTCAGCTTTGTTCTGGTTTTGGGGGGGAAAGGGTGTTTGTGTTTTTGGTTGGTTTTTAAAATGTATTTCTTCATTTCTACCCTCCAGAACTGCTTTGAGCTCTATAACCCCAGTCATAAAGGTCAAGTAATTAAAGCGTGTAAAACTGAAGCTGATGGCAGAGTGGTGGAAGGCAACCATGTAGTGTACAGGATATCTGCTCCCACCCCAGAAGAAAAGGAAGAGTGGATTAAATCTATCAAGTAAGTTTAAAGTCTTAAATGTCTTTCGAAATGAAGTGAAAGCTCTTTTCAGAGTAAGTTATAAGAAAATCTGTATTCTCACTTGTTTGAAGAATTCTGTTGTGGCAATGTCCTCTAGGATTAACAACAAGCTATGTGGGGTTGATGGATCAAGATACAAGTCTCATGCTACTGTCTGGTCCGAAGGAAATAGTGCTATTAAGTCAAATGAAGAAAATGTGGATTATCTCTTTTAAGCAAATGTAAAGCCTTGCGTGAATCGTCTTGAACCCTCATCTTATTAGATTCTTACTTCACCTAATAATTAACTTCAGTGACATGTATCTTCAAGCATGTTCACAGCGCAGCTTTAAACTTTCACAGCCTGACTTTTATCTTCCAAGGTTTACAAAGCAGATGCACACTTCAGAGAAATTAATAATGGTCAAGAAGAAGGTATGAACTCTTCACAAATCACAGCTGAATAACATCTTCGTAAAGAAATATTTGTGATGCTTAGAAGTCAACCGTCCATTTACTTGCTAAGAGTGTGGAGTCATCCACAGGAAAGAGGGGAAAGATAGTTTCATTTTTCAAAACAGGTATTTGTTAACTAAACTGATGATTCCTTTTTTCTCTTCTAGAGCAAGTATCAGCAGGGATCCCTTTTACGATATGCTGGCAACAAGGAAACGAAGAATTGCAAATAAGAAATAGAACATGATCAGCAACTTGCATACCTGCATCAACCTATAAATAAGCATACAGTTGAGTGGTAGTGTAAAAATGGGACAAACTAAATGAATTTTTTATATATGTAAATTTTATATATATACACTTTACTGTGACATAAAAACTTGGCAAGATCTTTCAAGGGAAATAGTTATTGGCATATAATTTGAAGTAAGCTTCAATTCCCAGAGGATGATTATATTGGAGCTCAATTCACCTGAAAACATGGAAGCCTTGTTTTCACTTACATTCATTTCAACTCCAGTTTACTTGGGTTGGGAGGGGAGGAATTTGAGGCCAATAGGAAAATGTCCTATACCTGTTGTTTGAGTGCATTTCCCATAAAAGGAAGTGTGATTATAAGACTTTAATCTCTCACTAAAATGCAGCACCGAAGGTGGAGTACAGAGTGATCTAGCACTTAATTGTTCTGTAAGCAGAAAAATCTACAATTTCAATATCAGTTTTAAGTCTTGTGTGTTTTGCAGTAAACGAACAGCTAAGTGCAGCTTCCATTTAGGTTTTGCTCTCCTCCCTTTATGGAAATAGCTTTTCTTCTTCTTCAGAAGTGCAACTGAGCGCTAGACTGGCGTAGCTAAGTAGTTGTGCCAAAGGGTTTGGTTGATACGCACTGACATACGCAGATCCCAGCAGCAAAGGTTTAAGTCTGAGACATGACACAAGTACAGAAGTGGTTTCACATTTGCCAATAGGCTGAAACTAATTCCTGTCTGCTCATACGGTCACAATAAGCAGTAAGATTTAATGACTGGTTTAATCTGCTTTTTCTATAGTAACATCCTTCTTATGCTTTAGATATGTTGTAGTTTATTTAGCACTGAGTTACTACTAAAGGAGTAAGATGACAGGGCTTGCGTGAGTTTAGGCTTTGCATGAGAAAACACCCCCAAATAATTTCACATGCGTTTAATGTTTTTAAAGGGAAAAACCAGGAAGGTGAAATCCTGTAAGATACAGCCCTAGATAGTTAAGCAAGCAGGATTTGTTCCTTTTCTTGATAACAAACTTTGGACATAAAGAAAAGTCCAGTATTTTTATTGCATTCTTAAAGGCAGTTTTTCAGATCTGTGCTTCAGCAGTTGAAATTGGAAAGATGAATAGACATCCTTATTTTTGCTTAAAAATTAAGATCTTACTCATCAATTGCCTGGTGCAGCTAAACTCCCCCAGAAGCACCTTTTTCCCCCTTTTTCTTTTGTCATGATTTGTGGTAGATCTTTCTGTGGTCCTACTGATAGTCTTTCACTAACATGTAAACCACTACGGCAGATTTTACTACAATGCTTTTCTATTGATAGCGCATGTACCGTTCGTAAGATAAAGCCCTTCATTCCACAATGGGGGCAAAAAGTGGTTTTTTGGACCCTACTGCTTCTGTTAGTACTCAGTTTTTGACAAACTTGTTGAACCTGAGCCGTTCCAACTGCCAATGAGTGCTCTGGAGACCCAATACTTTGTCAAAGCCATTTTGCTTGTTGGAATTACAGAAGCACCTCTGGGTACGTTGTAGGGAATTGCGGTGCACTGGTAAAACCACAGACTTAATAGGTTGATCTGTTTCAAATCTCCTTTAACTGTAAGGAAGAGGCTGTTTCACTGTTCCTGTGTGACTCATTTGCCTTGTTTTGCATGGGGTGTCAGCCAGTGAATGCTTTGCTTTATTGCATATGTGCAAAAAAGAGGAAAAGAACAAAGGAAACTTTCCTACACCTGAGATTTTCCCCAGTGTGTGGAATTGCGGTCCGCTTGCACCAGTGTTCAAATCTGAGTACTTTCAAGGGAGTAAAACTCAACCAAAGGAGGTAGAATCCTTGAATAAGTATCAGTGTGGGGACATCTTTGCTTGATGGAACACATTTAAAGTCTATAGAAATTCATTAAGTTGTATGTCCTGTGTCTGCAAAGCAGTGTGGTTAGAGAGCTGCTAACATCACTGGAGTATTCCGTTCTGCAACTTCAAGTTTTGTTTTCAAGCGACACATACATCAGTTTTAGCTTTGGACAAGTAGATTTGTAATGCAAATGGTGATAACATCTTTACCAATGATCTCGATGAGGGGATTGAGTGCTCC